TAACCACCTCTAGCTAGTTCCTCACAGCCAGAGCTGAACCAGGGACCCCTGAACCTAAAACCGCTCTGGATGCACAAACTGAACAGGAAAACCTCTACCTGGACTCCAACAACAAGATTACCCACCCCTGGCATGGGACGCTTGCTGCATTGCTGTGGGTTACAAGCAACAGCCCATCCCTGATGCTCCCCTCTTAGCAGGGATGCTGCGGGCACCGTGCAGGGGTCACGGAGGGTGCAGGACCATGCAAAGGTGCACCAGCAAAGCTGGATGGAGGAAGGTTTCCCGCAGCCACGTACACTATTTCTGGATATGCTGAGGAGCTGCTTAGGGCTGGATTTGCAGGCAAGCACAGGGGCGTATCGGCTGTCCGTGCTTTGGAAGGGGCTCAGGAACAGAAAAGGGGCAGGAGATTGGGAGGCAACAGGATTTATATAGAGACGCACGGGGAAAACCCATGTCTCCGAACATGAGTAACCTGACACTGGGCAGGAGTACCAGCTCCTGCCTGCGGATCCAGGACAACTTCCCCAGCCTGCAGCCAGAGGAACCCAGCGCTCTCACACTCCTGCCTAAAAAGCACTCACGACACCCACAAAAAGGCCCCTTGCCCGTGCCAAGCTCCCAAAACCCCCCTCTCCCAGCCCGTGCCTCCCATGCCCCTGCAGCCCTTCTGCATGCTGCCGGAGAGCCCTTCGGCCCACAGGTGCTATTGCTCCCCTGGGACCACCAGCCAGGCTGGCGGGGGCTGGCAGCAGGGGTGGGACGGGGGCCAGCAGTAAAATTAGAAAGTGCCTCCCTGCCAGCCACTTCTCCAAGCTGCAGGGACCAGCTGAGCCCAGTCGCTAACCTGCACTGTAACCCTTCTTGTCCCCCATTTTGTAGGCTGGGAGACTTGCTAGAAAGCCGGGGATTTGCATGGCTTTCCTCTCTGATTAGTGGTCTCTGGCTACCCCAGAGAGCCAGGCTCGCCGGCTGAGGGGGGCAGAGGGAGGTTGATTTCTCTGGCTCCTTTGGGACAGTCTGGCTTGCACCCTGCAATTCCCTTTGCTACTGTCACTTTGCACACTGAGCAGCCCTGCAAAGACTGATCTTCCCCGACGCAAATGGCTGCCCATACCCGGTTTCTAGCCCCTTTCTTCCCGCCACAGCTGCTTCCTTCCCCTCCTCTCCTGCAGCAGTTATTATTATTATTTATACTTAAGCATCCTTTAGGTTTCTGCTGGGGGAAAGGATTAAAAGAGACAGCCTTTTAAGGATTTCTGCCAGCACCAGGAAGCGAATACCCCCCAGTGAACAGTGCTGCTGGGGGATTTGGGTGTAGACAAGTGCTTAAAGCCAAAAAGGGCAGAGAGAGGGGAGGGGGAGCGGGGGGCAGCTCTGAAACCAGAACCGCCACCCCCAGCCGAAACGCAGCTCCTTCCTCTGCTTTAGGAAACGGATCCCTCCTGCGATTTCCTTTCAAAGGTGACTTGTAACCTCTTCATTAGGGTCGGCTTTGGCACAGCACTCATGGTGCAGTTGGCAGGGCCGGCCCGCCGGTGCTGTGGCTTGGGGGGGAGCACACTTGCCTTTCCAAGGGTGGAAAATAAACACGGCAGCTCGCAGCAGCAGCAGCAGACCCGCGGCAGGACCGGCACCCTGGCCATGCTCTGATGGGTACCATGGACTTTAAGACAGACCCCGGTGCAGTAACGATCAATTTGCTGCTTATTGTCCACCCTGAGGAGACAGCGATCAAGCAGAAAGGGCAGAGAGAGGGGCAGACAGAAGGCAGCCGCAGCGCAGGTAACGTCCCGCCTGTGTTGGTGCGAGGGAGGGGAGGGCGGCAGGTGCAGCAAAAGCAGCGGCTCTGGAGCAGGGTTTGGGCTTCTCCCCTCCCCTTTCTCCTCTTTTCCTTTGTAGACATGCTGCAAAACCCCAAACGTCAAACTTGGTTTTTGGTAGAAAGCCAATGTGCCTTCACCGGTGCTCTTGGTGGCCGTTGCTCGTGCGGGGTTGCGTGCTGCACGCGGCTCGGCGCGCAGCTCTGGGGCTCGCGACCCAGGGCGCAGGAGGAGACAACATACGCACGGACACTCATCTGAGGACCGTGTTTACTTACACCTCGCTTTGTCCCGTGGTGGCACTAAGATGCCTCCCTGGGCTCTCTCGGCTGTGCAAGGGGAGCAGGGAGAGACCTCAGCAGTTTCACCCCAGACCAGCGCCTACTACAATGGAATACAGGGGCAAAACTGTTTTGTTTGAAGTGTGGCTGGGCTTTGTCTCCAAGGATGACTACCCTGAGCCATTTATAGCTACAGTTTGGGACAGTCTCCCTGGCCCAGCTCCTATCCTTCAGGGGATCTTCCAAAAAGCTAAGGCTGTGCCCTGCAACTGTAAGGGAAACCTCCCTGTAGAAGCAAAAGGAGAAAAAGGGTATTTCTGCTCTAAAACCTTGGGGAAAAGCTAGATTTTCAGAAAACTAGTTCCAGGCTAACAAGGATAGGCAAAGCTAACACAGAAGTTGTGGTCATGCTTCATCTAACACAACATCCAGCACCTACCCAAATATAAGCAAGCTCTATTGAAGCAAGTTAGACATGGACTATTTCACTTTCTTCCTCCTGGTATTTCACATTCTAGTAACAGGGGCTGCAACAAATATTGCAGGTGAGACAAGGAAGGTGGATCCTGATGACACCTGGGTTCAGCTGGAATATGGGTTACATGAAAGGTTTTGGGCTGTGCCAAAACCTCACTCCAGGACAGCCTGATAATATTTTGGTTATATTTTATAGGCTTGCAGGACGATGGAAATGGAAACAGCAGATCGCAGCCACCTCAGGGGAGAGACCTTAATGGTATGTCATCTTCTCGCTCTGCTACTAAACTAACCACAGTACACAAAACCCATTTGCAAACTTTTAGCACACAGCTGTGCCTCCTGAGCATAAATGAGCTTGAACCAACCCATCCCTTTCCAGCTTGTTGGGGGGCTTCAGCAGAGTCACGTGGAGGACCCCATGCCACAGGAAACGTCCCCTGGGTGCTCTCCTCTGCTCTGTGGCCAGGATGCACATCGGTGGCACGGCAGAGCCCACGCACAGCCGTCTGCAGGGGATTCTCCTGCAAGCTGCCATGGAGCTCGCTCATATTTCAGGTGTACGGAGCTCTTACGTTTCACAGCCAGCTCCTGGCAGGGGAAATTCAGTGCCCCAAATTGCTCAGGTTGCAGATAGAGCTTCCAGAGACTTCCCCAGCACTCACAGCTTAAGCAAGGTCTGGGGTGTGCAAGAAAACCTTTGAGGTTTCAACCCGTCTATCCACCAGTCCTTTCTTCATCTCCCCTGTTCAGAGATTGCCGAGCACAAGGCAAGTGTGATTGTTATCCAGGAACAAATAGTATTGAATGTTCCCCTGCCAGTTCCTCACACCTCTGCCCTGAAACAGTTCAAAAGCAACATCTGAAGAGATTACACCTGGCTGCACACAATCAGGCTGCAGGACTGTGATGCAACAGGACAGAGCAGCTCCTGGGAAGGGGAATCAGAACATCAGACTTGCTTTCCTGAGTCTAAGCCTAATGTGGTGTCTAGCAGAGAAAGGCAGGGGGCAAAGATAAAACAACAGGTAATTCTCATGGTACCAAAGAGTGGATTCTAGTTATACCAAACAGGAGCTTTGCTTCCACAGGCCAAGTAATAGCAGCATACAAAAGCCACGGCTGTGCCCAGTATGATGCTTGATAGGAGCCCTGATCCAAGCCCCTCTAAATCAGGGGTGGCTGGATGGCACCCACAGACTGCGAGCAAGCAATATTTCAGAGCAAGATACAACTTTGGGGTTTTTTTTTCTCTCTCTCTCTTTTTTTTTTTTTAGTCTCAGACCCCAGATAACAAAAGCCTCTGCTCTGGGAATCAGATAAGTATTCACACTCTCTCACTAGTCCATCATACTTAAGAGGGTCTTCAACCAGAACTGCAGAGCACAAGTCAGAGCCTCCATTATGAGTGAGAGGACAATATCGATCATTTGCCACCTCAAACTAATGGCAGGAGTATTTAGTATGCATGTGGGAAACCTTCCCTTGCAGCTCTTTCTTAAGACACAATTTAAATCCCTGTGAGGATAACTAAGGAATTCAGACGCCAGAGGAGCAGGCAGAGCTTTTGCTCCTCTAGCACCACAGGGGTTAATAAATTCCCCTTTAATCAGCCGTGTTAGCATCTTGATGAAGCCTCTGACACCACCGAGCAGCTGGTGCTGCCGCAATATTTACAAACTGTATTACATAAGCCTCACCCCAACCCCACGGAGGCAAACGGGCTGCGGCCCCATGCTGCGCCGCAAAATCTCATCATTCACGGGCCTGATCCTTGTCACAGCCATGAGCTACGAATGGTATCTGGCCTTCAGGATGAGCTGTGAAAACCAGGTTCCTTGCACTGGTCTGCGGTGGCTGGCAGGACAGTGATCCCATGACGCTTTGAAAAAGAGTGAGGGATCACCCTGGTGTCCTGGCCAACAACCACCCCGCCTCCAGCAAGGCTCAAGCATCTGAAGCCGAGCGGGAGCTCGGGCTCAGCGTCACCTGGCATTTGCTGACCGTCCTGGCTGTCAGCACAGCCCTGGGAAGCGGATTTATGCTGCCTGCAATCCCCCAGGCTCGCCAGGTGCTCCCCACACCTCCCTCTGCCCCGAGGGCCCTGGGGCTACCTGGCATCGCGGAGACAGCCAGGGGCTCCCAGAGCAGAGGGGAGAAGTGGAAATTAGGATGAGATGCTGACAACCACACCAATGCTCCCACTCAGGGACCGCCTCATCTCCAAGCCCCCCACACTGCCCTTCCCTCTCACCCACCTCTCCAAACATGCACCCACTGGTCCAAGCACCCTAAACCCCCCACCCCAAGCAGCAGTTCCCAGCCCAGCCCTTCCCTAGGCTGGAGCATCCCTCTAGAGCAAGGCCAGGTGCCCCTGAGCCATGAGCAATTGGGTTTCAAAGTCATCATTACTTACTTCGCTGCTGAGCAAAGGCACAGATTTAATCCACCTCTGCACCAGACACCTCCACTCTCTTCAAGGCTCTGAGATGTTTTTCTTTGTGCAACCAGGACAGCGAGTGTCCAGGGAGCCCTGCAAGCAGACACAAGCCATTACTTCATACTCTAATGAAGGTAAGTAGCATCCCAGGGGATACTGGTTTTTCAGAGCAGGGCTTCAGTGAGCTTCCACTCAAGCTTTTTCTGTAATAAAATAACATCAGAACACTCCAAGAGAGTAAAAAGGAACCACCCTGACAATTTTGTGATCTTGAGCATGAAGAAAATCTCCAGGGATCCTGGAGAATCCTTGTGTCTTTCAGTGTGGATGCATGAAGGTGGGTCCTGGAGCACCTGGGTTACACCATCCCCCTGACCACCAGGATGTGGCATAAACATAATCAAAAAGCATGGTAAGGACATACTCCTGCCAATGTTGGATATCCCAGTGCTGATGGAAGGGTGCAAGGGCTGGAAGAAATAATATTGGCAGAAGTTTAGCTTAAAACACAGCTGGATACAGAAGTCCTGTCATAGGATAAATCCTTTCAAGGAGCCAACCCTGCACTGGAGCGTGCTGGGCCAGCTGCACCCCAAAACCAAGGACTTGTCTGGCCACAGAGAACAAGGAGAAGAGCAAATGTTTCCTTATGAAGGATATCTTGATTAGGAATAGTAAAAAAAAAAAAGTCATAAAAACATCAGTAACCATGTCATACCATTGGTTTTTAAAGTGATGGATGTAGCACATTGAAAAATTTCTGTGGAATTATGCTTTTTCATTTGTTAAATGCCTTTTAAACTTACTGGAAGGCAGCATTCCTCACTGTTAAATTTGTTCCTTGAAAACAAAGAATTTTAATTTATGGGGGAAAAACTGAGAAAGTGGAAGTTGGCAAGAAAACCCACAGAAACTCAAAGCTAAAAATAATCTTGAGAAATAAAAAAGGACTCTGGAAAATATAAAAATCTGAAGGAAATCATACAGTTTGCACAATACCGTTTCTCCCTTTGAGAAACAACTTCATTTTACCTTCAAATTAACTGACAAAATACACCAGCCAGCTCTAATGTTGACACCCTGATATTTCAATCATCCCAGAATTGCAGTCAAACTCAAGTATTTAAAAGGCTTTTTTTACAGTTTTTCCTGCCTTCTGCTTTTGGAGCTTAAAGGACATCAAACCTTTCTGCATAATCACAGGAGATATTTAACTTTTTCTAAAGTTAAATGCTGCAGAAAAACTTACTATTTGATGAAAGCGCAGATTCCTACCTAATTAGCTTGTTCCAAGAGCTGGCTTTCAAGGAAAACCCCAAATGTCACGAGAGTCCTGATAAAATTGTAGGAGGTAGCACATACGATTGGATGGCAGCCCCAAGGTGTATTAACATCTTGACCTTCAGTCTCCAAAGTAACCTCTGTCTGATCTGAAACAGGGAGCCCAGGAGCATGCTGAGGTCCTCCAGGGAACCTCGGTGGTTGCAAAACTTTCTGAAATACTTACAAAAAAACCTCCGCAGTCTCTTTATTTTCAGGTAATTGTTATAAGACACTCTCTAACTTTTTTCCTTGTACTTCTCTTTATGAAACTTTAAATCCAAGACCCCCGCATTTCCCTGTGAGGTTGTTCTGGAGCATTGTGGCATGCAGAGCACCAGTCCCACAGCAAGCCTGGACCACAGCCGGCTCTGCCAGGACGCTGCCTCTTACAAGCAACAGCCTTTGCCAAAAATTTTAATATGACAAGTCAAACTGCTTTCATAGCTCTGAGCTTTCTTCTGTTCAATTCCAAGAAAAATCAATGAAAGAAATTGATTCTTTGCTTACGGTATCTCCATCAAGAGCTATTTAATATGGTGATAAACTTTTTTTTAAGCTGCCACATAATCCTTGCTGAGGACCTCTGCTTTATTTACAATCCACCTTACCACCTGTTAGGCTATAATGAGCTATCTTTTATTTTTTGAGAATTACAAATCACACTGGAGGTGACCACAGGCTTTCTACCATACAGTTTATCTTAAGGGTGCTTTGTTTTGCCCGGAAACCCGATCACTTTGATACCTTCACAATCACCAGAGCTGCTGCTTCTTTTGCTAAAGAGTTGGATTCAATGATGCCTTGGCAGGCAATCCTGCCCTTCTCCTCCATGTCCTGGTTAGTTTTCCCTTTCTTAGGCAGTTTGTCATCATTCCTTGCAGGAACCCAAGTGACGGTGGAGATTCATCCCAAGGATACCACCCCACAACTCTTCAAGAAACTCTCCTTTGGAAAAGGTACAGCCCAGGCTTTAAACCCTGGCAGAGTGGGCCAAGAGTGGGAGGGCACTGGGGCCACATCCTTCCCTTGGCTAAAGTAGGGAGGGCAAGAAGCCTGGGAGCTGAAGGAGATGCTGCACCCCTCGAGCCAGGGCAGAGGTTTTGATGATTGCACTAACCACGCTGATGTTGTTGCAGGTCCCCGGAGGCTGCCGAGCCTGAGAGGTCAGGACAATAAAGGTAAGGCTCTGTTCTACCACAGTGCTTATCTCCAAGCTAGCCCTCACCCAGGAGGTCTCTGGCTCCCTTCTCCCCAGAGGGGCTCGAGGCTCTTGAGAGGATGCCAGCACCTCTGCCCACTCTCCCTGCTGGGCAGGTGCTGCTGGAGCCTGTCTGTGCTTGGGGATTGAGGAGCAAAATCCTTCTGCTCCTGGGGGGG